CGGGTGGCGGAAAATTGGAAGGATGTGTCAGGCATGGAATACAAGAGAAAAGAATCATATATATTCATTTGGAGGGGTTGCTTGACGTCGACTTCCGAGAATGATAGAAGAGTTACGAGCTACGGAGAGAGAGAAACAAGAATGGTTTAAGTCGAAGAAGGGAACTTTACTAAAGCAGGAGAAGACTTTACTTCTTAAGCGTTATTTATCATCTTCGATTCGTTGGAGAAGGATTAGTAGGAGAATTCACGTTAGAGATGTGTTAGAGCCATTAGCGTGTTCGCTCTTTGGGTGTACGGAAGTATCGAGGGGCTTCTCAGTCGGTCCATTAAACGTAACAATTCTGAGATCATCCGCAACATTCGAGAAGGGAAAGGTCGAGAGGCTGCACGTTCACATTGAGAGAAACAGAGAGAGAGAGAGAGAGAAGTCGGTGAACGAAGAGAATGGGAAGTGCAAAGAGGGTAGATAGGAAAAAGGGGGTAGATAGGAAAAAGAGAGAGAGAGAATAGGATGTGGGGTGTAAATGCAGGAACGTGTTCCATACTGACGTATCGAATAGGGCTTTTATTGTAAGACATTCAATACTGAGGATGTTTCAAGGAAGGAGAACGAAGGGTGGAATAAGTTTGGACGAGCGCAGGATAAGCGCAGAGTTTTCGTTTCTCTTGTTTTTTTTTCGTAGCGCGCTGCTGACGCTTCTGGTCTCTGTTCAGCACCCTCTGACGAGTCGACCTCGCACCGGCAGTGTCAGTATCGACTGGGGTAGGTACCTCGCTTTGCGAAGAACGACGAGGGTGGCTAGAAAGAGGTGACGTAGTGGGGGAGAAAGGGACATGGAAGGGTAGATGCAACGCGGAACACAGAGAGAGAGAGAGAGAGAGAGAGGGAAATAGGGCGGCTCGTGAATTCTCGGTCCTGCCCAGTGCAGTATCAAAAGTTTTATGTTTTTCTTTTCTTTTGAAATATATATACAGACTTATGAAAGATGCAATCGGTGAAAAAGAAAAATAAGATATTTATTTTGAACTCGAATGAAAATATTTTAACGTAGGGATGTTTCTCGCGTGATTTATCAATACACTGATAATGAGTTAACATATACTAGTATGAAAGATACGGTACTGATGGCGCGTCGGCGACGCCTCGAGGTTTCCACATGGTCTCTCTTGCATCGTAGTTGTTTGCTTCGTAGGAATTCGGTGACGATCGCGAATCTTCGGCCACCCGTTCCTGTTGGTGCTGCCACATGGCAGCATCAGCAGCAGCATCAGCAGCAGCATCAGCAGCAACGGCAACGGCAACGGCAGTGGCGATGTTTTGCGGGCTTGGCAAGCTTTCAGGGGCGGCACCTGCGTGATGGTAGAGAGGTTGAAGAAAGAGAGAGAGGAGTAGGATGGTAGAGGAAGAGTGGAGGATAGTTGGGGCGGGGGTTGGTTGGTGTCGGCGCGCAGGAGTGGCGGCGACTCGGGCGGGTTCGGTCGACTTCGCAAGTCATCGCCGACGTCTCGCGTTGGAGCTTCCACATGGGGTTGGTATTGGCTCCCGGGGCGCAGGGTGGCTTGTGCGGCGGGGCTCTAACCGGAGAGCGACTTCAACCGTGGAACGGACCGAGAGAGAGAGGGAGATAAAAAGAGAGAGTGAGAAAGGAAGGAAGAAGAGAAGGAGAAAGAGAAGGAGAAAGAGAAGGGTGATGGAGGGTGGAGTGTAGAGCGACGGCTCGCCACAACACCCCCCCGAAACGAGCAGAGAGCGTCAGTGCTAAGGTGGGTTGCTCGCTCGGAACATTGTCAGAGAGAGAGAGAGACGCGTCCTGGGAGTGCCTGCTGCTGGTTGCTGGTCGCTGGTGTGCTGTAAACGTCGCTGCTGCTGCTCCTGCTGTTGCTGTTGTGCTGCTGCTGCTGCTATTGCTGTTGCTGGTGCTAGTGCTGGTGTTGCAGGCCCCGCAGGCTCCAAAGAGAGAAAGAAAAAATGCCCCGTGGACCGGCCGACTGATTGTTCTCTTCGTATAAAATAGAAATAAGCTCGCGCGCGCGCGGAGGTGTGTGTGTGTGTGTGTATGTGTGTAAGTACGCATGCATGCACGCGCGCACGCACGCACGCAACCCTGACGTTTCGGAGATAAAGTTGACGCGCACCCGGCGACGACGACGACGACTCTCCGGTGGATGTAAAGAAGAAGAAGAGAAGGAAAGAGAGAAGAGAGAGATAGCACGCGCGCGCACATACAACTTGGCACGCAAGCTTCCACGCAAGCTCTTGCACGCAAGCTCCCACGCACGACGACGAAGAGAGGACGCGCAGTTTCCGAAGAAGACCGCCGAGAGGTACGCGTCGAGCGCTGCTTCCTCGCTCCTGTTATCGCACAGGAGAAGGAAGAAGAAGTGGAAGAAGAAGAAGGAGGAGGAGGAGGAAGAGGAGGAGGAGGAGATCAAGTTAATTTTAACAAGAGGAATAAGAGAGGTGGAGGAGGAGGAGGAGGAGGAGGAGGAGGAAGAAGAAGAAGAGGAGAAGAAGGTGAAAGAAGGTGTATAAACGAAAAGAGGGAAATAAGGCAAGCAGCATCGAAGAAGTGTAACGCAAGGGAAGGAAAAGCCGGAGACATGAGAGAGCCTAAGCGTCGTTCAACGTCCATCGGAAGGCTTAACGCGGCCGAAGAAACGGCCTTTCGGTTTGTCGGTTAGACATCGTATTATTCTCTTAACGGACGAGAAAATATTGATAGCGGGAAGGAAGAGAGATAGAGAAGAGAAGAGAAGAGTGAGGGTGGGAAGAAAGGAAAGAAAAAGGTGTGTCGAGGCAAAAGGAAAAGTCGGTAGGAAGCGGAACGAAGAGGTGGTGGAACAGTAGGCGGAGGAGGAAGAGGAGGAGGAGGAGGAGGTCAGCGTGGCGTTGGAGGTAGCGGTGGTGGTGATGGTGGTGGTGGTGGTGGTAGTGGTGGTAGTGGTGTAGTGGTGGGTGCTCTCTAGGTGAATGATCGTCGTCGGCCTCGTGGAAGAGGCGTCCGCCTCTTATGCGGGCTGCCGCACGTGCCGCATCGTCCTCCTCGGCACCGACTAGCGGCGGAGAACCTGCGGTTTTGGAGCGATTAACGAGAAACGACCAAGTGGAGGACAACATCGTCGGTTTTAGAGGAACGGAGGGAAAGAGCCTGGAGAGGAAAGAAAAGATCAGGTCGGGGTACTCGATACCGGGCATCGTCGTCGTCCTCCTCCTCCTCGAGTGGTGGTTTGCGCGGCAAGTGGCAAAGGGAGACAAAGTGGAGGACAAAGTGGAAGAAGGCTCGAGTGGTCGGCCGGTGCGTTCGTCGGCCCGGCTGCGTCTGGCAGGAGCCGCTGGATTCCGCCGCGGGATATGGCCGCTCGGAACGTTCTCTCGGATTTGTTTCGTACGACGATGACAACGGCGGGATCGGCTAAGAAGAGAACGAAGAGGTCGTACACGTCGAGTAGCGTAGTAACGGCGAGCGTGAACGCGACGAGGACGAGGGCAACGAGGGCAACGAGTACGCCGACTACCGCTACTACCACTACTACTACCACTACTACTACTACTACTACTACTACTATTGCTGCTGCTGCTGCTACTGCTGCTGCTGCTGCTGTTACTGCTGCCGCCGCCGCTGCTGTTGTTGCTGCTGCTGCTGCTGCTGTTGCTTTTATTATTACCGCTACGAGGACTGCAAAGACGACGAGAACGGCGAGGACGGCGAGGACGAGGACGACGTGGACGACGACTGCCTCTACCGCGACTGCTGTCCCTGCTATCGCTACAACTATTACTGCTAGTACTACTATTACTACTACTACTACTAATACTATTGCTCCTCCTCCTACTACTACTACAACTACTTGTACTAATACGACTAGTATCACTGGCACGGATATCGGGCTAATAGAAAAAAAAGTGCCGTTACCGGCGACGAGCGGTGCGACGGGAACGACGATGACGAGAGAGTTCCCTTGCAAGAAACAGAAGCTGACGACGAATAGCAGTTTGAGCAATAACGATCCTACTACTATTATTGCTAAGGATAATAATAATGCGATCAAACGATCTGAAACAACGGTCAGGACGATCACGGGGGCGGCGTTGGTCTCGTTGAACGAATTCGTATTAAGGAAAATAAGGGGTTACGGTTACGCGTCGATGTTGTTCGTACCGACGAGAAAGTTAAAGATGCCGATAAGAGTGACGATGTTGTTGTCGATGGTAGTCGGTCGCGCGGCCGCAGGAGCCGCGACTCGTCCTCGCTCCTTCCTCCTCCAAGGGCCTTTGAACGGTCGCTGCTAGCGGAGGCAACGGTCGCGTGTCTCCTCCTTCTCGGTCCTCCTCGTTCAAAGCGGAAGCAGTGCCGTTCTATTGCCGTCCGGATATTTTCTCGGGGCTATCTTCGTCGGTTCTTCTTCTTCTTCATCGTCATCGTCATCATCAGAGTCAGCGTCAGCGTCAGCGTCAACTTTCAAGTCAACGCCATCGTCGTGTCCATTAACGTCAAGGTCATCGCCATCATCCTCCTCGTCAACATCGTTGTGGTTGTCGGTGGTGTTGGTGCTCGGTGCTTCTTCTAATTCTTCTACTTCTACTTCTTCTTCTACTTCTACTCCTACTTCTACTTCTACTTCCTCTTCTTCTTCTTCTTCTTCTTCTTCTTATTCTTCTTCTTCTACTTGTTCTTGTTCTTCTGCTACTCGAAGTGTTCACGTTAAACCGATCTCGTCGTCGTTCGACGTAATCGACTTGAAGGATTTGAAGCGCGCGTTCGCGTTAATTCTCGACGCCGGCGTCGAGATAGTCGCGGCGACGACGACTGCAACGACGACGACTAGAACAACGAGGACGAGCGTGACGGACAACAATAACGACGACGACGCGGATTACGTCGGTGTGGACTCGTGGAGGACGAACAAGACGAAAACGAAAACGAAAAAGACTAAGACAGAGACGTGGACGACGTGGTGGACGTGCAGTCGGGGGATATGTGTGGGTGCGCCACGTCAACTGGGCGGCGAGGACTGGGGACTGCTGCGGGTAAATCGGCACCACGGGCCACGAACTTGTCGTGCTCGAACCCACGTAGAACGCCCGGGCTTAGGTAGCTCGTCGTCCTTCGGCGTTATTCCTCACCGACGCCCGCGGGCAATGTGCCCACCCGACGAGATAACTACGTGAGTTTCTCATCATTTTTCCTTTTTCTTTCTTTTCATTACATTATTTTTCCATTCTTTCATTTATCACAACCCTTATATATTTGTAATTATGTGATTTATTATTAACAACGAAACAGGTGATTAAGATTTTCGATGAAACAGATAGAATGATAATAGCAAAATAAATTAAATAACAGAAGTATTAAATGAAATTAATCGAACGTTGGAAATAGTATACAAATGAACGGCAATGTTAATACAATAGATGATAAAGTCACTGATACAAAAACCATAGATGAAGTAGCGCTCGAAATTTAACAGATGATTAAATAAGAGAGAGAAAGAGAGAGAGAGAGAGAGAGAGAGGGGGGGATAGATAGAGAAAAAGAGGAGGGATACCGCGGATAGGCTAGCCGAGTTTAAACTTTTATCGATTCGACGAGGATGAGGTGCGGTGCGGTACGGAGACAACGCGCCGCGTGCGTGTCATTGAACTTTCGGTGGATTCTACGAAAGATATCGACGGTGCCGACGTCCTCTGCAGACACACGGTATACATTCGAATTTTCCCCACGAGTTTCTGGATCATTTTCATTTAGTTCTCCTCGTCGAACGGTCTAATTTCCTACTTCGCTCGATTTCAACATTTTCATATATGTCATCGCTCTTCTACATTTTTGTTCCGTTTTCCCTCGTTAAATTTATCTATCTTATATTTCCATCGGAACGCGTTGGTAGATTTTTTTTCGGAACATTTGTCACAGTAATTAGAAGAAATATAATATTAGTAAAGGGAATAATCTAACAAGGATGAAAAAAGACAAATGACGGATATTTTTGTGCGAATGGAAAATGGTAAAAGGGGATAAATTTAGTCCCATATCCGATTATTACGTTGAATGTAACGTACTCACATATATTACGAACGATGTGATTTATTGTAAAAAATATCTATCTATCTACCTATATACATATGTATATATTCATATTTCTTTTGGACGTTATCGTATTCGATAGAAATCCGATCGGTTGGAGATTAAAATAATCGACTAGCTTTTCGAGAATCGAACGTCTAAAGCAAGCTCAATGCCGAGCTCTACCGAAGAGTAATCTTATTTCAGCGAGTCCGCTATCATCTGAAAATCCACTTTAAGAAGTCCGTTGAATGCGGGGTAGGCAACGTTTTCCGGTCAAGGTACGGTCTCTTTAGTAAAGAGAAAGAGAGAGAAAGAAAGAGTATCGTGCTGCTGCTGCTGCTGCTTTCCTGACTTGCATCTCTAAAGCTTTTTTCAAAAGCACGGCGAAGCGTGTTGTAAAGCACCGCTCATATATGATACCTATGTATGTATCTGTGTATATGTACCTATGTGTGTTTCTTCTTCTTCTTCTTCTTCTTTATTTTTTTTTTCCTCCTCTCTTTTTCTACTCGATGAAAATTCTACGGACTTGGGAAGCTTCGAGAAAGATAGGTAGAGAAACAGAGGGAGAGAGAGAGAGAGAGAGAGAGAGAAAGTAAAATATAGGAACAGAGAAGGAGAAAGTCGAGCGTGCAACAATTCGGAAGCAATCGTCCATTTCTACGCATGCAAATTTTCTCCTTTTATTTCTCTTTCTTTCCGTACGTGAAACGAGACGTGAGATATCGTTTAAATGATTCTGTGCTATTATCCATCGTTATCATAAAAAATATTTAAAGTTCGTTGTTTCTCTCTCTCTCTCCATTTATTTTTCTTACGATCGTATGTGTTTTCATCATCGATAACGCCGAGAAATGATCGCGTATTTGATTCTTTTAGGCTTTGTGATAATAAATCATCGTTAGGGATAGAAAAACAATTTTACTCGATAGTTCGGAAGATGTAAGAAAGAAATAAGATGCAAGAAGTGTCATTAGGTGAAGGAAAGAGAGAACTGCCATCGTCACTCAATCGTAGTTTTCGTAGGCTATGCTTGACGTCGTCCAATGATTTACTGACCGATAATATATTTATGTTATTCAAATTTATGATTCGCTTATTCAATGATACTCCCTCACTACGAGATGAGATTTACATTCAAATTAACGTCTTCTATCTTCCTTCGTATTCGATCCAAATTTCTATCTATCTTTCTATATATATATATATCTTTCTCTGTTCCTCTCTTTGTTTCTCACCCTCTGTCTTTCTCTCTCTCTCTCTCTCTCTCTCTCATCATAAAGTTCGCGCTATGATTGCACGAGATTCCATAGAAGTAGTACTTTAGTTCAAAGTTTTCGAATCTCCCTACGATATGCAGTTTCTTTCTGTGGTAGGAGGATACGGGGAATGAAGTACGATGCAAAGGAATATCATCATCTCGTTCAAACTAGGAGAATCCTTAGGGTAGTCCGCGAAACGTTCGGATATCTAACAAACTTAGTTTACTTGCTTCTTGCACTTTTTTTCTTTCTCTCTCTCTCTCTCTCTCTTTCTCGTCCCTTTTGTCTCTCTCGAAAAATTCGTCTCGATAAATCCTATAATTCTTTTTAAGTAAACCTATAACGATTTTATCCTATTTATTATTTATCTTCTCGTTTTGTTATCGTTATATTTTTCACTATTTTCCAAAAGGGATCGAATCGAAACGATTCCATAATCATTTTTATCTATCAAAGGATACCCAATAAATCGAGGGAAGACCTTTCTTTTTAATATTCCATAGATCAATTTTTGTTGTCTCTTCGCATGAATACTCATTGATGGCCAAGTTTATTATTTGCAACAAAAAAAAAAAAAGAAATGAAAGGAAAAGGACGAATAAAAAACACGCAAAATAGCAGAAAAAGAGAGAAAGAGAGGGAGAGAATAAAAAAAAAAAAAAAATAAGAGGAAACACGGTAAAAGAGGAAGAGAATGAAAAGTTTCGTTCACTTCATATGCGAAAATCGGATGGGGAAAAAAGGATTCGTAGTAGTAGTAGTAGTAGTAGTAGTAGGGTATGGGTTGGATTCTGGGAACATCGAAAAATTGCAACGGCAGCCTTTTGAAGCTTTTACCGTACGCGACTGGTACAATCGAAATGCTAATTTTTGTCCGGCCAAAGGAAGCGTGGACGAATTGCATTTTTCATTTCGAAGCGAGGAAAGGTGGCAAAGCGGGATAGGGGTTGGTTGGTTGGTTGGTGTGTAGGGGTGGATGTGGGAGTGGGCTGACGGTAGGGGAAGGGGGATGGTTGACGCCGCTGCGGAGTCACGGATGCAGGTTAAAGCGGCCGAGTTTGCCAGCCTTCCACCCTCTTTTTCTCTCTCTTTGCAACCCCCCACTAACCCCCTCTCTGAACCTCGCGCCACGGTGTGAAGTACCGGCGTTACACTACGGTGCAAAGTGAGGCGTATCCACCGCGTTGCTGCTGCGCTGCTCCATTTTCTCTCCTCTTTCCTCTCTCTCTCTTTCTCTCTCTCTCTCTCTCTCTCTCTCTCTCTCTTTCTAGTTGTGACTTGAGTATATCCTACACACATATTCACTCTTATACGGAGACATATACGTAATATACACAGGTGGATGTCGAGCGCACACAAGCCGATAGAAAACTTTGTAATGCAAATGTTTCGAAATAATAATTTCCAGGCAGTGTCGTGTCTCGTCGTTTGGTCTCTCTCTCTCTCTCTTTCTCTCTCTTTCTCTCTTTCTCTCTCTTTCTCTCTTTCTCTCTCCCTTTCTTGTAACGATAGTAATGGTACTAGTAGTATCAACAATAGTAATAGACTTTATGTTTCTACGACACGAAGTTATCGAGTGTGTTCCTTCCCTCGTCATTTTTATATATTTGTTTCCTTTAATAAGTATCCGTGCTTTTCTTATTTCTCATTCTTTCTATCCTGTTCCTATAAGAGAGGGAAAAATCACGTGGAAAAATATTTTCTCTTCTACGTTGCGTGTAGCCGATGGGGTACAAAACGAGGTAACAAGATTAACCGTGAGTTACAACGAAGGGTAATATCGTAAAGAATTAAAGTTTGCTAGAAAGTTGATAAAAGTTTCGGTTCATTCGTTCTACATCGTATTATCCCCCTTTACTCTTTTCATTCTTCATCTACCTCCTCCTCCTCCTCCTCCTCCTCCTCCTCCTCCGCCTCCTCCTTTTTATTCTCCTCCTTCTCTTTATCCCTTTCCCTGTGACCACGCCCTGCAGTTGAAATTGTTCTGTATTAGAAACTAGTAACCCGATTTGCAAAGTATGTTTTACCAAACGAGAGAAACCTTTCACCAAGTTGCTTAGCTTCTCATCGACATCGCATTACGATCGATGCGTGTGTTTCTATTGGATTATCGAGGATTGTAATAATAATAATAATAATAGTAATAATAACAATAATAATAACAATAGTAATTGAAAGTATAAGCGTACAATCGGTTATGATCGTCGTTTATTGTTATCGAATCGATTCCTATTTTTACCGATCTTTTTATTTAGTATTATTTTCTTTTTATTCTTGTCACAAATATAAATTCAAATCAATTATTTCAATTTTCAAGTAAAGCATAATCTTCGATTAATCCCGAAATAGCAAAAGTTACATTTGTAATTTATATCGTTTATTATGATGTAATAAATGCGCAATTGGTAGGAGTAATCAAGAGATTAAACCGATTATTTGAAATGTGAAATTGAATTCGAACATATAGGCGAGCTATTATTTGCAATAATGTCTTCATTTGGTCAATAGGATAACTCATTTCTGGTAATGTAATCTTCTTCTCTATAATAGGAGATTTAGTTAGAAAATTGATCTTTTTACAATAGAACGGTCCTCGTGGACCATTCTAACTTCCTACTCGTGTTTCTATACGTTTTCCTAATAGAAATAAGAGATGTTCGAAAATGGAGCTCTTATTCTTTCGATACAAATACAGTTGATAGTAAATTATAGTTCTCCGATAACAAAAGACCGCAGTGTTACGAAACGAGGGAAAGAGAAGGATTGGGATAAATGGAAAGAAAAAGGTGTAGGCCTTAATTACTTGTAAGATGATTTGATTTGTAGTATTCGAAAGTTC